TACTGCAAAACTAGTCGAATTGTGAACACTACCATTGGTGTGGGTCGGAGTGGGCAGGCAGCATCATTCAAAGCCGCAGCAGATGTTGCAACATATGCTGCAGCAAATGTTGCAGCAAATGTTGTCATTTCTTTGCCACAAAGATATCTGGCAGCCGTGGGCAGTGGTGGCCTGGCAACTTTGGGCAGCGGTGGCCTGGCAGCTGTGGGCAGTGGTGGCCTGGTAGCTGTGGGCTCCGTTGGCCTGGCGGCTGTGGACTACGGTGTGAAATATTGTGCTAGCCGGCTGAATTCAGATATTGGGGTGCGTAGTGATGCAGTAATAGTTCCAGTGGAAGAACTTTGTATCCGGATCCGGCATGCCGACAATGTGTCCAAGGAGGATTAATTGTTATTGTCCAAGTATAAACTTATTATCCCTCTCTACTCTTGGAAATGACTCCTTAAAAATTGCCTGCAAGTATTTAAGGTTGATGGATGGTGTGCATCATCTATTATTTACCTGGAGATTGTTGTGATATTTATGTTAAGTGGATGGAACCAAATATTGTTCTCGGTTTGATTGTACATCTTTGTTGTATAATGTACTTTCCCCTTTGCATTTTAACTATTTCTCTCATTTCAAAGCCTGTGAAAATCAAGTTAATCACGAATTTAAATTCAATTTTAAAATAAGTATAGTCAGTCTATTATTGTAGTGGAGTGATTGAACTTCTAGGAATTCAAACTGAAACTTTTTTCATTGATATTATGAAGAATTATTGGGTGGGTGTATTATTGAAGGAGGGTCCAAATAGGCTTCATCATTATTAGATCATTAGATGGCAACAAACTAGAATTTGTATCACATGATCCTATTTTAACATTAAACTATATGATTATGTATTAAAATATTATTTTTTAAAAACATAAAATTATAGTTTGTAAAATAAAAAATAACATTTTTTTTCTTAATTTTTTTTATCATTGTTAAAATTTAAATTTGAACTCTCTAATTTTAAATTTTAAATTTTAAATCATTTGAGATATTATTTTTTTAAGTCATTTTTTCCCCTCTAACTAACTAGTACCATTAGTTACTTTGTATATATCAAACTAAAAACTTGGTTTTTCAACCCAAATGTAAAAATCTATCTATTGAGATAAAAGAATTCACAAAGAATTTATCAATTAATTAAAATTATATATATTGCACATATTAGATTTTTTTTTTTTTGGTAAATGTACTTATTAGATATTACTGCATGCATTTAACAACTTGGTTTCATGACCTAACCCCATCATGATCATAAATTTAAGAAGATGCTTTTCCCCATGCAAAATGGCGTGCGTGGTGGGAGACATTAGGAAACGAACACCATAAAAGTGGGACTTTTTTTCTCATATTTGATTTATAGGGCACCATGCCCTCTCACCTGGGTATCTCAAGGAAGTCAAGTCAGAAAAGGAGTACTCCATTAGATTAAAAATGGACCGTCGACTCATAGTAGGACCCACTTGCAGCCCATTTCTGCCGACCAGTCCTGGTTTTTCCCGAAGTGCTACCCTTCAACCTAGAATGGAGGTTAAAAAAAAAAAAAGAAACCAAAATAAAACAGATTCATACTTGTTAGTGCATGTCTGCATCCAATTCTTGTATCTTAGCCTTATTCAAATTTTCAAGTAGAACAAAAA